TGAATCAAACACTGATTTATGAAGACAATCAAATCAGAGAAGGAAAGCAATCTTGACTTAATTTCTCAGATGTTATCTTGAAGTTGATGTGTAAGCAATAACAACCCATGACAAAATCGTGTTTGACAAGAAAAGTTCCAGTAAGAAGCGAGCAGTGGAGAATGAGAAAAATCTAAATATTACGTAATATTCATTTGCAGGAAATGCAATTATTGAAGCAATTAAAGTAACAGATTGACCAACAAGTAATATTTAGACTGATCACAGACTCAAAATTCAGAATTTATGGTTCTCAGGAACTTTGTGTTTTACACTATTCTCATAATTAACCAAAAGCAAATCAAATATATGCATCAAAGATTATAAGGCAGAGGACATACTTCTCCAGCCATTGAAACGTCTGATTGCACCAACCTAACATTCTCCTCGAGATCTTCTAATTTCTTTTCATAGTGATCCACAAGATCATCCTTGGCCTCAAACAAGCCAAAAAAACTACCAGGCTGGGATTTTGAAGCAGTTGGTTCTCTTTGTAGGTGGATAAGCCTTTTATACAACTTCTTTGTGTCATTCTGGAACATTGATTACATAAAGTAAGTGAAGCGATGAAACAATTGACGGTCTATCCAACACACATCAGGCAGTGTGGAAATAACTCCATGCCTGCTGACCAAATAAAAAATACTGTTTAACTTTCCCAATATGAGCTAATTTTTCATGAACCAAATTTAAGCATATCCATGATTATATGCTAATACAAGGGGAATATCAGAGACTAATGATTGAATTCAAAGGATATATCAGCTACACAGCCTACACTAGGATATATCAACAGTAAAAAAGAAAATATCAGCTACACAGCCTACACTAGAATTGAATTAAAAAATTACAAAGGATTTCTACATTTATAATGTATTGTTAGGAAGTGAAACTATCTAACTCAATCACTTCAATAACAAAAACATGGCATTTCACTGGAAGATAAAAGACATGGGAAGGATGAAAGAATTCAGATAGTAATATACATACAGGAACTGACCCCTGGGAATGTACATCAAAACTTCTTAGGATGAAATCTTAAAGTTTTCTCCTTTGAGTAACCACCACATATCATAACCATCTAAATCCTTAAAGTTAATGGAACTTACTATGAGATATCTAAGTTTGTTCGTTCTACGCACCACCACGTGTGATAAATATGTACTGGGATGATATTCCTTAAAAAATCTCTCAACGCTGTCACTCACAGTGATCCCAGCAGAAACAGGCACACTGCGAACCAAAATGGTGAACTGATGTGGCTGAGGTTTTGATGAGAGAAAGTATGAAATCCTTCTAGAGGAAACATATTTGTATTCCTGCAGAATTGACATTTGGAAGCAATTTAACTTATTTTAATTGTATGAAGGTTTCAAATATATACATCAACAGCATATCATGTACATGTGTGTGTTTGTGTGATTGTGTATTTTGGTAAGAACTAGATTAATGATAACTTTAACAGTTTACATATATATATTCCGCCTATACATATTTGTTTAGCATAGTTTCGAGCAGCAGCTGTCTATTTCCGGCATTCTCTATTTTCACATAATATGATACCCTGGTTTTACCAATTTTTATTTCATCAAAGGATCAAAGAGAAGACACAGGTCCACTCATGTTTTGGGGACGCTGGAAACCATAAAATAGACATACATATAACTTACATGGTAAAGAAGGAAACAAACAAAGATGGTAAGGAGATATACAGCGCAAAAGTGTGCCCATAGCCTGCCACAAATTAAGCACCCCAGAGTCAAAGTCTCTCCATGCATCTCTTAAATCCAGAGTACATTTAAAATCAACAGTCCATGTTATTCATCATGCTTACCTATTGGAGCCATCTTTCACGTTGGAGACGGTAAATATATCCAAAGAACTACTTGTTAAGTTAGCGAAATTTACATCGTGAAGTTGATCTCCAGAGAAGTTCACCGGAAGGAGGATAAACACCCCAATAACAACAGCAAGAGTAATTACTCTCAAACTGCAAAATTTAGAAAAGATAAGCATTTCAGAGAGGACACCTGGTATTTCTTGTCTTGAACATCAAGAACGTCTCAAGTTACAGGTTCTAGAGCAGCAAAATATAAAATTCAAAAAATTTTAGAGAACTCATCTAGACACAAGAAAATGTGCAAAAAAATGTTGGTACACCTTCCAATCTTTGGTCCTTCAAAAAGAAAAGATTAACCTGAAGGTGATGATGCGCATGAAAACAACAGCATCCAAACCAGAAGAAGAGAGTAATTCCTCTTCAGAAGACTGCCACGCGCGTCTCACCCAATCGGGAGTAGGCAATAGTCTCTCCAAGCGGAAGGTACTGCTCCCTTGAGACTGCCCATCAGAAAGCAAGCGGGGAGCATAGACGTGGTAATTGGCAGGTTGTTTCCTCAAGCTAGAGTATAGTGTCCAAAACAGAACACAAAGCCCAAAGTTTATTCCAACAGACGTTAAAAGTGCAGAAACTAACATTTGCAGGTCATCAAAGGAAAATCTGGAAGTCTTCAGAGTATTTAATCTTCAACAGCCACACTGCACCTAATCAAGAAGTTAATTGATAGTCATCCAACACTGAACAACATCAAACAGTTCACTAAAACTTAATTTTGCACGTTGCTGTAACTTTTCAGATTTTTTTTCTCTTTCTTTCTTACTCTAAGATAATCTGAAACCACCTAGGAATCTAAATTAATCTCATACAACATCAAAGATACATTTTCTGACGATGTTTCACATAAATGGATCCCTGTAGCCTAAATTGGTGCTTTAATTTGAAGGTGATGAAGTAAATGAGCTGAGGACACTCGATGGACATGCAGAAATATCACAGTTACATACGATCAAGAAAAGGCATAAATCAAAGCATATCAGTAGAAACAACAGAAGAACACCCCCAACCCCTCCCCGCCCACCTAAAATCATCAGAATTCCGATGCATTATTTTGAAATTCCATCTAATTTAGCCGATACATCACCTAAACATCCAATATTATAGCCCCAAAAAAAAATTGTGGGGTTCAGATAAAGAAACCTTATTCTTGGCCCTTCCTTTGATGGTGAATATGGTGCAACTGAACATACCATGGAGATAAAAGATTAATGGCAAAGTCTAGATGATTGTTTACCTTATCCTATAGGTTTACTGGGAATTTTGGAGATGGGTTTTGTGGGAATTAGGAAATTACACTAGATGCGAAAGACGGACTAACAGGTGGCTGGTAGTTGACAAGCACTCGACAGTGTCATATAAAGGCGCTCTGTTTTGGCGCTTCAATAACGACCAGTCAAATTCTGCTCCTGCCGAGGTGGTAGTTGTGACTCCTGCCATAGTCATAAATCATAATCCCAACTGATTTTAACAAAACACAATTAGTGTTGCGAATTTTGGTTTTAAATCCTCCAAATTATTATTAGTTTTTTTTTTTTTTGAAAAAATCATGACTGGTGTTAAGAACACACCCCCCCCCCCCCGGATGTGTATGTAATTAAAAAATAATTACATAAAATGAATCAATTTTGTGTAAATTTTGTTTGTCACATACAATTTTTATGAAAGAACTTTGGTTTATGTAATTATAGTAATATTTAAGGTGATTATGACCAGTTATATTGGTAAAATAGGATTAGGTGATTAGGATAAAAATTAATTTTTATAAGAATAAAATCAAAAGTTTAAAAAATAACAAAATATATTTATACTAAAAGAAAGTTCAATAAAAAATATATTTTTATACCGTCATATTTTGTATCAATTGAAAGTTCAAAAACATTATTATATTCTGTATTTGACGGGTTGCTAGTAACATTACCCAGCAAAAGACATATCAATATTTTGCTTTTGAATGGTTGCTTGTAAAATTACCAAATCTAAACTATGTCCTTTCCCGCTCAATTAGTTAAAAAAAAAATCTGTCCTATAGAATTTTGGGCTCACGTGCGTAAATGGGCTAATGCTTAACATTTGGGTTATCGACTTGGGCAGGGGCCGCGCGAACGCAGGCCCCTACTATCACAAATTATGACGTTGGCTCTCCCACTTGGGGAGACCATAGGCAGGCACCCCTCCCAAGTGCAATGGAGGTCACCAACCTAGGCCATAGACCTTCTTGATCAGCCATTGACCCCGTCCAGGTAAGTATGTAATACAAGCCCATTCGTTCTCCTTTTATCCACCTGTTAGTGCTTCTCGTCCTACTTCCTTTTCCGATGTGGGACTGCCCAACTGAAAGCAACCTCAAGGTCAAGGCAGTGATTTTTGTCTCTCTTTTTCCATATTCAAATCTTCTGTGAAGGCAATGGGGATGGCCATTAAAGGATTTGACTGCTAATAAAGAACAGGTATAATTGAGCTTCTTGAGCAACCTCAGATATGTCAGTTTTCCAATTTTGTGTCTGTTTGGATTAGCTATTTTTTGGTATGTTTTTGAAAAACTTTATTATAGCAGTGCATATGAAAAACTTTTGTATGAGATTTTTTTTTTGAGTTGTTTTTGTTTGTATATTATTATAATATTGTATTTGAAAAACTTGTTTTTTCAAAAACAAGGAAATCCAAACATGAGCCTTTAATTACGCAACGGATCTTCTATCCCACACCCTGTGCCACTCTCTATTCCACTTTTTAATTGAATCCCAAAATGTTAATAGTCATTTTTGGGCAATTCTGAATAATATGCTTTAAAACCCTATTGGTTTTCTTGGGTTCTTATAGATACACTAACCAGGCTGCTGTCTATGTCTGTGCAAAAAGGATGTGCTTTTTCTTTTTGTATTTTTTCAACCTTGTTGCCTATGTGGAACAAGCTGCCAAAGCCAGATTCCTAAGAACACATCAGCCTTTAAAGATATTTTTGGCAAAATATCTCCAGAACAATTGAACCTTAGCATGCACTTGTCCGCTTAGATTTGTTAATACCCCGGCATAAATATCCTGGAAGAGGAAATTCTAGCTGGATCCTGCCTTGTGGAATTCTTTGGATAAAACATCAGTGACCACGAAAAAGACACGAGAAGCTGCGAGTTTTGCACTAGCAGTCTTAAATACTCCCATTGCTGATATGCTTCATATAACTTTCTACTGATCAAGGTATGGAAAATGAAGATATATCTGGAGGAGAAAGTGATTGGGTTGAAGTACAATCACCATTCTTCACAACGAAAGCTCATCGGAATGAGGATGACGAAAATTCAGTGGTAATCAAAGACAGTTTCTTTTCTACTGACCGTGCAATTTTTCCACCAAGTAATCAGGAAAACTTACCAGTTGTTTCTTTAACCAAGGACCAGCTGATCGAGGAACAACAGCAGTCACATATTGAGGAACAACAGCAGTTACATCCCTCGTCTTCCCCTGCCTCGTTGTCATCTGATGGCGATCACCAGAGTGAGGTTGAAGAAGCTAAGGTTGAAAACAAAGACGGAAACTGGATAAAAAGGGGTTTGGGATTTTTCAGTTCTGGGATTGAGAAAATTGTTTCAAGAATGAGGAATTGTGCTGATCGTAGAGCTAGCACGTGGTTATTTGCTTCAGCAACAACTGGAGTGGGAGCAATGCTGTTGGTGGTGGTGTTGTATAGGAGAGCAAAGAGGTGGCGCGGGCAAGCGCTACCTGCAGAGAGCAAACAGCATCTCAGACTTCTCATCAGAGAAAAAGACCAGGTGCACTCTAGACCTTTATCACTCTCAATTCAGCAGCTGTTCATGTTTAGCGTTTATCTATTCCGGTCTCTTCTGATGCATGTATGCACTTCAGAAAATTCAACAGACTGATGTCTAACATATCTGTTCGCAGTTGAAGTACTTTAAATTTGTTTGCTAGAGGTGGAACAATTGCTCTCTTCTTTTGGCTTGCAGAGCATCGCAAGCCCAATTCAGCATATGTGAAACACTGTCTTACTTTCCTTCCTGGAAAATTGCATAGTTATACAAATTCTGAATATCTAAGTGCTTCAAGTTTTGCATTGCAGAAAATCAATCAACTTTTGCATCAAGTAATCCAGTTGAATGATATGTTATTGGCTCGTAGGAGAGTTCCAGTTGTTCAAGTTGCTTGAGCTGTCAAACTTCATCAGTCCAAGATCATTTAAGAGTGTCTACAAGAGAGTGACTCAGGTCCTCTTCGAAATGTCTTTCGCCCTGAATATCCAAGATGTTGATCCTTGACAAGAAACCGCAAAATGTTTTCTGTAACACTTAATTCAAGTCCTTATCAACGAAGCTATTGAATGATATGTTTTCTGTAACATATTAATTTCTGATGCCTTGTGTACTGGGAGATATTCCCACGGGATGCAACTGCATGCATTTTGCTACCCAAAACCTGTTTTCAGTTGCCTCTGAGCAGCATAGTTCTCTGTTGGACAACTTGGTAAAAGTTCCGTCACTTTGTTAATGTACGTAGAACTGGAGACCGCCCGCCCACTCATGTATCTGTCTTGCCCTTGTACATTGGAAACGATTTAGCTGTGAAATATAAAATCCTTGTCGATAGATAGTTAGATACTCTGCTAGGGAGAAAAAATAAAAACTAATAAGATACTCTTCAGAATTTCGCCACAGTGGCCAAAAGAGAGCTGAAAATTTCACTTGTGGACTACCATTGTAGCCAAAATTTTAACACCTACTTCGTACAAACTCAAGAATAAGAAGCATTAGCCATTTGGTAAACGTGGATAGTGTTAAATTAAATTTATTGAATATGTGATTTTCTGAACATAATTTTGAAGAAGAATACGTTAAATTCTCTCGTTTGGTCGGCATGATTTATTAAAAAAAAATTCGAGTATTATTCAAATTGCATCATAAACATAATTTTCAATCACCTTTTTATCTCATATACATCACATAAAAAAAAGTGCTACGATATTCCAAATAAGTTTATCCTATTTAAAGTATGATACCTTTGCTCTAATCTTTCAAATAAATTTTTTTTTTTGTCAACTCTAATCTTTCAAATAATTACTATACTTGGTTTCTATATAACTATTTGAGTTAGATTAATTTTTGCATATGGGTTTAACAATTTTCTCTAGAGCTGTAAATGAGTCGAGTCGAGTCAAATTTTGTCCTAATCGATCCAAGCCTAAACTTAGTTGTATCAAGCTCGAACTCGAGCTCTCAATGTAACAGGTCGATCTCGAGTTCAAGTTTGAAAACATAAAAAAAGTTATTTTATTTTTAAAAAATAAATAAAATAATAATTTTTCTTAACAAATAATAATATATTAGGAATATATATGTAATTTTACTATTAAAATAAAACTTATATATATATATAATCGAGCTAACTCGTAAGTTAACAAGCTGAATATCTTTGAACTTGAGTTCGACTTGATTGACTCGAACTTGAGTTGCTCAATTCGTTTGCAGCCTTAGGCCTTGTTTGGCAGTCAAGTTTTTTGTCAAGTTTGTCTGCTACAAGTTTTTTAAAAATTTTATCTACAATAATTTCAAAAAACTTTTCAAGATTTTTAGACTATACACTTTAAAATATTCAAAAATTTATACACTTCAAAAAATTTTCAAAAAACTTCTACAATGAATTACATTAAAGTTTTAGATAAACATAAAAAAAACTCACTTACCAAAACGGGGCCTTAATTTTCTCTTAAATTTGATTCCGTGCTTTGCTGCTTTTTTCTTCTCCGTACTTTGTTCTTCCATTTCTAAATTTGAAAAAATAAAATAAAATTATGGATGTAATTTTCCGGGACTTAATTGTCATTAGTATTTCAGAATGGGCCCTCAAGGTAAATATTAAAAGATAAAGGGATGAAATACTAAATTCAGATGATTATTGAATCAAATTAGCTTGCGAGATGGGTTTCTTTTCTGCATACTAGGTATATACAGTCCCGCAGGGGACATCCGATATCCACAGTTAGTTCCTAACACATTCGCGAGCCCTAATTCTGAATCACTCAGAACTCCAATTTCAGATTTTGCTGATCGAAGGTATCTTTCAATTTCATGTTTCCATCAAAATTTTTAACCCTAGTTCCATTCATAGCAATTCTTGGTTAGCTCTTTGATTTTTTTTTTTTTTTTGGGTGATTGGTTTCTCGCTGGGGATGCTAAATTTGTGGATTGGTTTTCAGTTTTTTATCTTTGAATAGTCGGAAGAAAATAAAATTTGACAATTAAAACGTCTGCTAGTCTTGGAAGATTATCGACGCTAACTCTCGAAACTTCATGATTTCTCCTATGATCTGATCAGAGTTGTTTTTTTTCTTTTCCCCTTTTCCCCCTGATAATTTTTTTCTTGTTCATGTTAGCTCTGAATTTGGATTTGGAAAGTTGCCCTTTTGAATATGGCCACAAAGCTGTGTCATTGGACTTTCTAAGAACTTAAATAGGACTTGGACGGATGAGTGAGGATGCTGTGAGATAAAAGTTCGATTCGGAAGAGATTTTTAATTTGATTTTGGCTTATTTTGTTTATGAGCTTAGACTTCTAAAAATTGGGGCCTATGTTGTTCCCCTGAATTTTCCGTACACCTTTCTTCTTTCATCAATTCAACTTCGCTAGTCTTTTTTGTTTTCACTGGGTGGGGGGAGGGGGTTTGGGGGGAAGTGGGAGAAGGCGTGGGGACTTAATCTAACCAATATAAGTTCTTTGGGATCGTTAATTTGATTTACTTCATTTTGGCTGTAGGTGGAATTGAAAATTTTAGTCGAATGTCTTGAGGTATGAGGAGTGGAACTTTCTAAATATCATGTAAATATAATCAATACCATTATTACTATGAATTTGACAGTGGCCATAGTTATGGAAAATTCTGGAAGATGATTAACCAATAAATTTACAGGGCAAGTTAGGTTGGACTAGTTGCTATGTTGTAATAGTTGTGCTACTATGTGAATGTGAGGTGGGGATAGGCTATGGCATTATGATGTCAGATACTATATGGTGACAGGGATTATTGAATGGCATTGAGCAGGGTAATAATTTATCACAAGTATGCCCAGAGTATGGGTTGTGGAGTATAAGATTTTTGCTATAGCCTTTTTTGGAGTTTTGGGACTTTTTGCTAAAACTATTGCCTTTTTTATTTTCCTGTAAAGTTAATGACTAGTTCCCTTTCTGATTAGTTTGTCATCCAAAATATAATGCTGTAACTACTAACTGTCTCATAGTTATCAATGGTGCACTAGGCGCATGCCTACGCCCAGAGGCACAGCAAGGCGCGATTTTGTTTCTGATTAGACGATTGTTCAAAAGTTCGTGTGCCTTTTGGGCGCAGTGGTTGAAGGCTCTTAAGTGCTCTCTTTTTCATTTCCTGTGGTTTTGTTGATTTACAAAATTTAAAGTTTATGTTTTTTATTGACTCTGGAATTAGTGGCGGTTGGACTATATTATGATTCAGAAGATAATGTGGAGATTGGAGATGGAGATGATTTTGGCAATAATTATAGTATTCTTTATAAATTTCTAACTATTATCCCTTTTTGTCATGCTTAATCTTCTTATTTTGTGTTGATGCCCTTTCTTTTTGTGATTATGTTAGTGTCACATATATTTATGATTCTTGTAGTAATATGCTTATTCTTTTGTGCTGGACATTGATGTCCTTTTAATAAATGATAAAATGTTGCATATGCATATTTTTCTACCATATATGATTGTGTTCACACCTGTGCCTTGTGCTTAAGCTTCAGGGGGCCATAATGCCTAGATGTGCCTTGCACTTGAAATAACTGCAATACGTTTTGTAGTTGTTCCTGCTTAGTTTCAGCTCTTGGAAGTCAAGATGTATTAAATGATGGTATATTGTGTGTCAAAGATGAACTTCTTTCCATATCGGAGCACATAGACATAACTTGCTGTCTCTTAGTCTTGTGTTACTTTGAGAGTCCATGTTTTCTTCTATTGATTCCTGGTTACATGTTTATAACTGCATCCTGTAATTCAATTTAGCCTTAAAGATAGGGCATCCAGGCTTTCTGCAAGCTATGTGATCCTAATTGTATCTTGAATCACAGGTGTCCAAACATCTGAGACGTTACCATGTCTTCATCTTCCCTGCCAGCTACCACTGCTTCACTTACACAAGCTTCTGAAGCCACTAGCCCTTCTGAGGCCATTTCTATCTATTACCAGATACTTGCCAACCCTTCATCTTCTCCAGAGGCCCTAAGAATAAAGGAGCAGGCCATCTCCAATCTCTCTGATCTGCTTAGGCAGGAAAATAGGGCAGAGGAACTTAAGAACCTTCTGACCCAACTTCGGCCCTTCTTTTCCTTGATCCCCAAAGCAAAAACTGCAAAAATTGTTCGTGGAATTGTTGATACGGTGGCCAAAATACCTGGTACATCTGATCTTCAGATTGCCCTATGCAAGGAAATTGTGCAATGGACACGTGATGAGAAGCGAACTTTCCTTCGTCAGCGCATTGAGGCAAAACTCGCAGCTCTTTTGATGGAGAACAAGGAGTATTCTGAAGCTTTGGCTCTCCTTTCTGGACTAATCAAGGAGGTGAGAAGATTAGATGACAAGCTGCTTCTTGTGGAGATTGACTTGCTAGAGAGCAAGCTTCATTTCTCTTTGAGGAATCTTCCTAAAGCCAAAGCTGCACTTACAGCTGCAAGAACAGCAGCAAATGCTATTTATGTTCCTCCAGCACAGCAGGGCACGATTGATCTGCAGAGTGGGATTCTCCATGCTGAGGAAAAAGATTATAAGACTGCTTACAGTTACTTCTATGAGGCATTTGAAGCTTTCAATGCCCTTGAAGATCCCCAGGCCATATATAGCCTAAAGTACATGCTGCTGTGTAAAATCATGGTCAGCCAGGCTGATGATGTGGCAGGAATAATATCATCCCCCAAGGTGGGCTTGCAGTATCAGGGCCCAGAACTTGATGCAATGAAAGCAGTTGCTGATGCTCATTCAAAACGCTCTCTTAAGCTCTTTGAGACTGCACTTCGGAACTTTAGGGCCCAGTTAGAGGGAGATCCTATTGTCCACAGGCACCTCTCATCACTGTATGACACTTTGTTGGAGCAGAACCTTTGCCGGTTGATTGAGCCTTTCTCTCGGGTTGAAATAGCTCACATTGCTGAATTAATTGAGTTGCCGGCTGAACATGTTGAGAAGAAATTATCTCAGATGATTCTGGATAAGAAGTTTGCGGGCACTCTGGACCAGGGGGCTGGATGCCTTGTAATTTTTGACGACCCAAAGACAGATGCTATATACCCAGCTACATTGGAAACTATTGAGAATATGGGCAAGGTGGTTGACAGTTTGTTTGTGAGATCTGCCAAGATAATGGTTTGATGCCCTCTTCTGCATTCCCTCTTTGCCGTCCTCTCTACTGAGTCCATGTTGAATTTTGTGTCCGTTTCACTACATTTTTAAGATGGTTCACTTTATTCCTA